CCCGCCTTCTCCAGCAGAGGGCTTAGCTGTAAGGAAAGACACACTAACCTGGGATTTAACTGTTACCAACAGATCAAATACAAATCGGAGCTGATTTGTATTTGAGCTACAGAAAAGTGACAAATGAGAGAAAAACATGAACCAAAGACCGCATTTTGCCACAATTTGACCAGCTTAAACAGAGTTCTCTTTAACTCTGCTTGAATATATTGTTACATTGAGTGTTCTGATGTCATAATGATCATTAAGTAATTGCGTTTAAATGGTAACCACACTAGGGTCATTTAGGAAACTCAGCGTGTACCATGTTTACATGTCTGACAGCTCAGGTCTTGTGGTGTGTACACTGGGTTATAATTGTCAGAAACAATGTGGGGGTGGATGCTGCTTCCTCTGGTGGAATCCTAAGGTTGAAATTGTCTCAACAGGCACACAGCAGAGCGTGCGTGTGTGTGCGTGTGTGTGTGTGTGTGTGTGAGAACCCTCTCCCCATCCCCCCCCTTTTTTGTGTCCACCCTCCACCCTTGATGTGGGTTCAAAAGGGGAATCACTCTATATCCTGTGTCTGTGCACACTGATCCATAGAGGCTCATGTTTATATACCCTCATATGACTGAGACAGAGCAAAAAGAGGGAAAAAAGAAATGGTAGTAGAAGCGAAGGTTGTTTATTTTCCTCTAATATGTAAAGGTAGGATTTGTGTGACACGTGTAAAGGAGTGAAGGCTTCCTCCTGCGTTGTGCTTTAGAGTTGGAGCTCATCGGAGCAGCTGCCGCTAGTCTCAGAGACCCAGACAGCAAACCAACTCTTAAATTACTTCAACGCCTTTAAAAGCTTAACAAGACTGGATTAAATAAGAAGGAAAGTGCACTGGAAAAAAGAGAAATTAAGCCAAGGAAAATATTAAGCTGTCATTCGAAAATGAAATAGAAGGCTCACTAGTGAGATGAATGTGTTCACTTATTTTGGGCCTTTTCTTGATTCGTTTTGCACTGTTTGTGTGAGCCGTTTTCATTTCATAACTGTTTGCTATTATACAGTTATAGAATAAGACTTTTATCAGCCTCTGAAATTAATAAAATGGAGCGTTGCTCCGATGGGTTCACATCAGAAGCGAATGGGAGCTGCTGGTGTTATCTGTTTACTCTGTGATCAGTGAGCGGGCTAAGAGGACTGAGGAAGCCTGTTGACCTCAGTAGATCTGATCCTTGACCTGTGAAGGGCTATATGTGTGTGTTTGCGTGTGCTCCTGTTAAATGGAGGAACTGTAGAGGGTTGTCTGCCATCTTGGTGTTTTGAGTCAGAGCTGTCAGAGTACACATTCAAAGTATATTTACATTATACATACACAGTGGTGGTCAGAAGTTTGCATACATTCTTCATGGGCATGGTTTTAGCCAAATATGTCACTACTTTTCTTGGCAGAATTGATTGGTTTCCTGGTACTGACTTGGCATTTAACTTTAGTTTACAAATTTATAATGGGGTTTAGGGCTGGGCCATATTATACCGTTCACAGTAATACCGGTATAATGTTAGGCAACGATAGGAAAATGAAATATCGCGATAGAATATGAGTAAAACGCGCATGCGCAGTGCCTTTGTTTTCATACGCACATGGCCGATTGTTGAGTGAAACAGATGAACCAGAATTGGTTTGTAAAAATGGTGCAACTTCAGTGATGTGGAACTGGTTTGGTGTTTGTCCGTCAGATACACGACAAAGCACATTTTTTTGCAGAACATGCAAGCGGCCGTCGTTATTGTCGTATTTGTCGGACTAAGATGCTCTTAAATCTGGGAGTAATCTGGGTCCTAAACTCCGTATGCTTCAGGTCAAACGAACACTGCAGCATCACTGAGAGTTAAAACACTGTCTAAATTCTTTCATCTTTAATAAAACGATCAGCATTGCTGCTTTACCAGGTGTAACTATGAAGTTTAACTTCCAGGCATCCATGAAAACAAAATGTATTACATTTAACGGAGTTAGAAGTTAGCAGGAAGCTAGCGGAAGTTAGCTCGCTAGTTTCGCTAGTTACCTAAGCATGATATAGCATGTTCTGACTGAGAGATTTCTGAAAAAAATCAAACGTACAGCTCTGCTATCACTTCCAACATAAATGAAGACAGGAAACTAAACAGCAGTGACGTTTGTAGGGTTACTGAAGTTGGGCTAGCTGGTATATAATGATGTGCTACGTGATCGCTAGCGACACAGCTACGTTAGCATAACATAAACAGTGAAGTTGGAGGAGGAACACTAACACTTTTCCACTTATAAAAAGTTAAGTTAAGGTTCCTGATAGTTAGAGACAAATGCAATCGCATGGCAGGATGCTGTAAACGGACCAAACTTCAGTCAGGAGAACAACTGAGATAATCCATCCATCCGAGGTCAGTCATTAATATACTGCAACAACATGGGAATAGAGCAGCTGCCAGAGAATTC